CCCGCTTCCCCCTCCCCCCTTTCGCATTATTTCCCCAGTCCACTAATCTCACACGCGCAAAACTCCCTCTCAAGGAAGGAAACTATCGAAAGCCTTGCCAGCGGATGGTTGCTGCTGACACTTGCTACCACTCGGACTACTACTCGAATGTCACTGCTTCTCAAAAACAGTGAATACGGAAGGGGATTTTAAATTTTGCCGTGAAAAAAAAAACTTATTCAAACGGTAATTCTAGCAGTATTTTAGCGATAGAAACAAAAAAAAGACGATTATTAATGGTACTTTTCATAAATCAGCAATTCTAATAGATCCAAAAATACGAAACCACAAAAATTAGTGAGTAAATTACGCATTAATGAGTTTATGATGCTAAGCAAGAAATTAGATGCATAAAAAAATGAAAAAGTAAAAAAAAAGTCTCACCTGACGTTCGGATACAACTGTTTCCGCAGCACCGGTACAACCCCGTACCAAAGGCTGAATACGTCTGGTTACCGAACAAACTGCACGAAACATAGATTAGCCAATAAGCATATTTCTGCATTAAAAAAAAATCAACATTTCTTCAGAATACAAAAATCTACTAACACTGTGAAACCACAAAAATTAGTAAACAAATCAGATCGCATAAGTGAGTTTATGATGCTAAGCAAGAAATTAGATGTATAATGAAAGCTAGTAAACTTCGCCTCGCTACTTTCCTTCTCTCTCTTTTTCTTTCACTTATCCATCTTGCAAATTAGTTACATGTCTTTTCAATAGATGGCGGGTAGTAGGAGGCTGCTGTACTGACGATTCCCACTCCTACACGCATGCGCATAGCGCGGTCCGCGTATGTTTACAGCTAAGGGATGAAACACAGACAGGCTGCATCGTAAAATATCACTTTACTACATCTAATGCAATTCAAATTCATGAAACACAAAGACCCAACATTCCAGGTGCAGTTAGTAACTTTTAAGCTTCTACACCTATGCTCAGATCCTGCAGTTGGAGAAGTAACCCGGTCTTTATTACTCCTGCACTCAAATCAAAGCTAGGGGATGAAACACACAGACAAATATCCCAACATATTCTCAGTACATGCGCAATTAACATGTCACACTGTTTATAAAACACACGTTCCTACGTACCATCTTCCAATTCCCCCTCCCCTTCATTAGCTTATTTCAAATGAAATATTAAACTCGAATCTCCCCATTCTTTCATATCTACTATAATTTAAGACCACCCATAACCCTAACAATCATACCCCTCCCGGATGCCAATTTTCCCTCAAACTCAAAAGCGAGTGCATTTTGTGCGACTGGGCCGAGCCAGAGAATTATCAAAACTCGGCTCGGGCATTCCGGCCCCTGAATATATGTAGGTGTTTAAGAAGTATGGGTTTTTGGTTGGGGTTCTGTAATTGTTCATGTGTACGGGGTCCTTTTTTCCGGTGAGGTTTTGAGGTGTAAGCATGGGCTCACTAGTTATTTCTTCCTCAGTATCAAGTTTCTTGCTTAGCACCATAAACCTTTCCTCGTCCTCCCTTTCCCACTTCTTAACCTCAAGCAAGGCCTCAGCTCTTTTCCAGCCGATAATCTCATTCCCTCCCTTCCG